GGGGTGGAGCCATGGCTACTGGGGGTGGGGCCATGGCTGCAGGGGTGGAGCCATGGCTGCTGGATGGGGCTGTCCTGCTCTCTCCATTCAGTCCTGCTTCTGCAGAGGCCTCTGCACCCAGAGCTCGGGCACTTACTGTGCAGCCCTGAGCTGGTGTGGGGCCAGGAGCCAAGGTGCTAAAGATTCAGATCCTGGGCTTCAGAGCTTACAGTGTAGAATGAGGGTGCCGCCTGGAAGAGCTGTTGGGGAGACCCGCCTAACCCTGAGGTCCAAGACAGGCTACTGGGGCGCAGAGGTGGTGGGCTGAGGCCATGCCCCAGGCTCCGGGCTGACGCTCCCCCAGGTCCCAGCCCCTGGCCCTTCCCCTGAGGGAGGAAGGCCCGGCTGCCCCCCCCCGGGGCCCGAGGAGGGCGGCTCATGGCTTTCTTCCTCCTCGTCTGGTTTCTTAGTTATGACGATGTGTGTGCAGGAGAAAGGGTTTGCCTCCTACAGAGGGTTCAAGTGAGGTCCGCCCGCCCTGCCTGGTCCCCCCGCTGCTCCGTTCCCTGGAGGTTAAGGCCATAGCTGGTCAGGGGTTTGCCTGGTGTCCCTCTGTCACCCTCTGTCTTTCCTCCCCCCTCCCTCCCTCCCTTCCTCCTTCCCTCCCTCCCTGCTTTCCCCTCTGCCTCTCTGGTCCCCCCTCCCTTCCTTGCCTTCCATCATCTCTAACACCTGGGCCCGGGGTTTCCACACTTCCCTCCCTGGGCCCCTTTGGCAGCCCCTGAGGTGCCAGGCCTGGGGGCGGCCGAGGGGTGGGCAGCCGTGTGGGGCTTTGTCGTGGGCGCCCCAGACCCATGGCCTTTCCCTCCCTGTTCCTTTCGGGTGATTTGCCTCAGAGCAGTGAGTTTCTTTAGCATCACATTTAGGAAGTGAGAGGAGGTGGGCGGCGTGATGGAAGGCCCGGGGCCAGTTCCTGAACACGGGCTCCCCGGGGACCCCGCTCAGTCATTAGGGACCCGGCTGCACCAGCGGAGTTCAGCTGAGGGCGCACCGTGGAGGGGGTGGGAGGGGGTCCCAGGAAGTCCTGAGAGGGGTGTGCACATGCACCATGTACACATGTGCAGGCACAGACATGAGTGCACTGTATACATGCACCTGTGCATACACGTATGCTCATGCACACACATGTCCACACCCCCACACAAGTGCACTGTACACATACACATATGTACACACAGGCACAAACATGCATGTGAGTGCACTGTACCCGTGCACATGCATACACACGTGCACATGCACACGCGTCCACCCCCACACGAGTGCACTGTATACATACACATATGTACACAAGGCACAAACATGCATGCGAGTGCACTGTACCCGTGCACATGCATACACACGTGCACATGCAGGCATACATGCACATGCAGGCATAGACATGCATAGGAGTGCACTGTACACGTGTGTACACACGTACTCTCCCCCCGCAGTGGTCCTATGGCTTCTACCTGATCCACCTGCAAGGCAAGCAGGGCTTCCAGTTCTTCTGCAAGACGGAGGACACGAAGCGGAAGTGGATGGAGCAGTTTGAGATGGCCATGTGAGTCCGGGGGTAGCGTGGGGGGCTCGGGAGTCCCGGGGGGGACTCTGTCCAGTGGCTGGAGCAGTTGGGGATGGCCATGGGAGTCCAGGGGGCAGCGTGGGGGCTTGGGAATCCTGGGGGGACTCTGTCCAGGACTCTCCCAGGCGAGGGTGAGGGCAGATGCCCAGAGACCGAGACGGACTTCGTCACCCCCAGCCCCACGTTGGTGGCATCCTAGCTGTTTCACAATCTCCCCAGCAAGAGGGCCCTCCCTCTGGCCCAGGTGGGCTCCGCTGCCCGCTGCCCCGAGGCTGAGCCTGCACGGCTGTCTGGCAGGGCATTGCGTGGCCAGCAGTGGTCGCGATGCCAGATGGACCCCTGGTGACCGCTTCCTCAGGGCCCCAGGCTGTGACTCTCACCTTCTGTGGAAGCCACAGAACTATTCCATGGAATCTAGGAGGAGCCCGTTATGTCCAGCAGAGAAAGGTGATCAGTGGGTCACTGGGGACCCCAGGCACGTTGGACCCGAGGCCCGAGTGGCAGGTCCTGTGCCCTCAGACCCTGCAGTCAGACGGGCAGGTGCGCCCACTCCTGGCCTTTTCCTCCTGGTGAGCGAGCGGTGAAAGGAGGGCGGTTAGGGGTTTGTTAGGGCGTCGAATGGGGACACGTCGGAACAAATGACCGCCCGGCCGGCATGGCTCAGTGGCTGAGCGTCGACCTGTGAGCTAGGAGATGGGGGTTCGATTCCCAGTCGGGGCACAGGCCCAGGTTGCAGGCTCCATCTCCAGTCGGGGGGGCGTGCAGGAGGCAGCTGATCCATGATTCTCATCATTGATGTTTCTCTCTCTCTCTCCCTCTCCCTTCCTTCTGAAATCAATAAAAATGTATTTTTAAAAAAAGGAAAAGGTAGATGATGTCTCCTCCACAGCTGCCCCGGCTCTCAGGCTATAGCTTCTCCCCGGTGCCCTCTATGAACACTTCCCATCCCGCCTGCTGGCTTTGCCGCGAGCCCCCGGCCTCGCGCCGTCTGACAGGGGACGTAGCTCCGGGTGAATAGACGCAGCGCGCGCCCCCTCAATGCCCCGGGTGCCTGCTGGGAGTCCAGCTCACTGTTCATTCTGAGGTTTTCGTTGCTGACTCGTCCCCGTGATGAGTTCCCCTACGAGCTCCTCTGCTCAGTCTTGACCAGTGCCCGCGCCTGCCCCACCCAAACCCTGTCAGCGTGTAGCCATGACCTGCACCCAGGCCTCTCGTGCCCGTGCAGCACCCCCGTCTAGCCGGGGTGTCGGGCGGACCGGGCTCCGTCCCGGCACAGCCCGGCTGGCGTAGGGCTCAGGGAACCTGCCTCCTCCCTCCCACCAGGTCCAACATCAAGCCCGACAAAGCCAACGCCAACCACCACAGCTTCCAGATGTACACGTTCGACAAGACCACCAACTGCAAGGCCTGCAGGATGTTCCTCCGGTGAGGGCCGCCCCCCGCCCCCAGGGGGCCCCGTACCCACCGCCTCTGACCACCTCCTCCACCGCCCTGGGCTGGGCCATCAGCTCAGATCCAGCCGG